GTTTCAAGATATCACTTCTTGATATAAAGCTGCCTAAGTGGATATCGCATTTGGAACCTTGTGGTAGCAAGGCTCTTACCAGTTGCCACGTGCGCCACGGCAAACCAGTTGTCTTCTAAAAGCACATTAAAAAAATATCATTAGAAGTGTACTCATTCTTTATAACTGGATGTAGAATAGTAGTTGTCGTTAAATATCCTCCGTTTATCGTGTAAAATTTTTAACCGTTCTGGTCATCATGAGACATCCCAGACATGTTTAAGTCGAAACATTACACTGAATTCCTTGGCATGGATTGCTCAGATTGCATGAGATGATAACTGCATTTATCTTTTGCAATACTCAACACTAAAACTATTTTTTCTTGGTTTGATTTACATAATTGCGGTAATACCACATTAAATATAGTTGTCGCATGTTTTTTTACATAACGTAGGGCAAGTTATACATAATAATTGCAAAAAATAGAAAATGGAAATGTTTATATAAGTTTAGGTTTTAAAGGTTCCTGAACATTTTGGCATACCGTAGCAAAAATTGATTTATGCCTGTGTGTATGTATGCATGTGTGTGCCGTTGCAATACTTTGTCGACGATTTTGTTAACACGGATTAACCGATTTGAATAATTCAATTATTGGGGCATGGCATCGTGCCTTAAGGAAAATTGCTGGAACTTTCCATACCAAAAACTAAATTAGTAAAAAAACTTCGCAAAACTTTGAAAAAATTAGGTTTTTAGATTTTTTTTTGTATTTTGAATTATTTTAAAATTTTGAACATTTTTTTAAGCAATCGCACTGCATAGCTGATTTCGAGTCGAAATATCAAAGCGTGAGCGCCGCCTAGTCGTCTAACATGTAAACATTAGTACGGAACCCATATAAATGTACACATAATTATAATCTTTATAAAATATCTGATAGTTCAATATACATATGTCTAATGTTCAGTTTTGACTGCCAAATTGTATAAGGTTGTCAAATATCTCCCTTCCGCCTTTTTGTATTATAAACCAAGAGCAAAAAAGCGGAAGGGAGATATTTGACAACCTAATATTATTTTTCACTTGAATATCCGGAGACGCTGGACCTGCCTTCAAAAAAATTTCACCATCTGTTCATTTCTTCAGTGCTAGTAAAATGTTTTTTGAATTAATTAAATCGGAAACTCAGTTATCTCTGAAACTAAAATAACATTTTTGGTACTTTTTGCCCCGTATCTCCGAAACGGCTAGACCTGCCTTTGCAAAAAACGAATCAGCACCTTATCAGTAAGAATCGAATTCTTTTTGAATTATTCAAATCGGATAATCCGAGTTCGCGAAATCATTGACAAAAATTATTGTATCCGCACACACACACACTTTTTTCTAAAGTATGCCAAAATGTTCAGGAACCTCTGAAACGCAAACTTACTTTTTCTTATTTATTACTATTACTATAACTTACTTAAAATTGTAATTTAATTTTTGAACAGAACGTTCGATATAATGATTCAAAAAATGCTATTAATCCCGTAGTGTAAGCTATAGTAATCGCAAAAAAATCGAAAAAGAAAATTTTCGCATATTCGTTTCAAATATTTCAGAATATTTTTGCATAACTTACATAAATTGGGTGTATGATTACATGTGTGCATGTATATTTGGATAAAAATTTCCACGATTTCGGGCGCACGGATTAACCGATTTGAATTATTCAAAAACATTCGATTCCTATTGATGGGAAGACGTGCTGATTAGTTTTAGACAAAGACAGGTCAAAAACGGTAAACAGGGCAAAAAGTGGTAATTCAGTTTTTGAGAGAACGGAGTGTCTGATTTAAATGATTCAAAAACATTTTATTTGTATTAACGAAATGAAGAACAAGATCCGATAAAAAAAGTAAAAAAATGCCATCTGGCGGTCGAAAATGACCATTAGAGATTTGCACATCAAATTATCACATATATCTTAGAGACTTTAATAATAAGTACAAATGTTTACATTTCTATGGGTTCCGTACCAATGTTTATCCGTTAGATTACTTACGCGTTTTAATATTTTATCTCTAAAACAGTTACGCTTTGAAAAGAAATTCAATATTTTCAAAAATTTCAAAATATAAAAAAATCAAATTTTTCAGTTTTTTTTTTTTTTTAATTCAAAATTTTCAAAAATCAACATAATTTTTTTTTTTTTAATTTCCAGTACGGGAAGTTCGAGCAATTGAACGATGCCATGCACCTCCAGCTCGGTTTGAGTTGCATAATTGCAGTAATACCACCACAAATATAGTTGTCGCATGTTTTCCTGACTTGAGGTAAGTTTGATTTGCCGTAATGCGTAACCAAGCCGGGCGCCAGCGCTCTGCTTGGGTTAGCACGCGTTGCCACGCTCACGCCGCAATCAGTTGCTCTTGGGACGCCGAATGGTAAAGTTCTATGTGAATGCGCTCCGCTGGATTTTATTATTTATTCGTAAATAACAGTCAGTTGTGAATTTTTTACTAAAGTGATTTAACCGGGTATCATTAACAAAAAACGTGCAAATATTTTTATGAATATAGTTTTGTTTTATTTGAAAAAGTGCATAATCTCACGAAGTGTTGTGTGTCTGCATGGTGAATTATTTTGACATTGAACTCTTGAGTTATTACTGAACTCCAGAACTTTTGTTTTTGTGTGCTGTTTTTGTGTCTTGTTTTGTGACTGAACAAAGTTTTTGCATTAAAAATAAAAGGATTATACATTCGCCTTCTTTGAGAATTGACAAAGGTATGGTAGTTTAGTTTTGTTTTTATATATTTATATTTATATTACGATATGATACGATTATATATTGATACATGATTGAATTTAATAATTACAGAAAATAAATTATCTCAATTGAATTAATTACAGTAAAAATACAACTATTAAACAATATTAAGCCTAACATTAGTATTATCTAATACAATAACTTGAAGAAAAAAATGTTATAAAATTCAAATAGTTTAATTAAGGCTTGTAGATCTTGAGATTATTTTTATGGTAAAAAAAATCCTTTAAATATCCGTTATGCAATTTTTATTTGAGTCCCATATCTGGAAAATAATAATTAAGAGCAGTATCAAAAAAAAGTATATAATATGAAAATAATTGTAATAATAATTGTTTTATTCATAATCTTTGTAATAATATTACCACGTTAATTGCCATGTAATTAGACACTAGATTTTTCTCAATGGAGTGAAATCTATTTTATTTCTTATATTCTAACCTTTTTGCCCTGTCGTTTATAAGCTTATTAGATGTTATTGCATTATATGTCAGTCACATTTGTCTGACGCTTCTCTGAAGAAATTTAACCTTTTCCACTCGCGAATTGCGAAATTTATATGAATTTTGAATCCGGGTCGAAAGGGTTAATATAGGGCCATTGTCAGTCATATATGTGTGACATAAAAAATTGTGTTTTCGAAGAATTTTGGCAAAAAAAAATATTTGATACATTAAGTTTCCTTAATACATTTTTAAGATATTATGAAAATAAAAAAAATTAACTAAATTATGTAATGAAGCTACCCATGTCTATGTGACAACTTTTCTGATATTTTCGTGGCGAATAAAACAAATATGTATTGGCTCTGAGGACTTATGGCAGAGATTTCCAACCTTTTTGCACCGTGCCCTTCCTTGCCCCGCTCTAATCGAAAAATTTGTTACGCCTCTCTTAATTTTTTCAACTCAATTTTATAAATATTCAACTGATATTATCAGACTACAAATTAATATGAAATATTATGTAAAAATATGCATAAAAGCTAATTATTATTATTATTTTTTTTATTTTTGGTTATTTTCACAAATAGTATTCTGGAACAGATGTACGCGCCCCACGGGTTGGAAACCGCGGCCTTAAGTTATTTTCTCACACTTATTAATATCTTTGCAATCTTGTTAATTTCAATTTATTGCCTGAATATTGCAAACACTGATTTATATAATCCAATATCGAAGGTTTAAAATTTTCAAAATATCTTTGTCTTTCAAAATTTTTGGAGAGAGTTGAATGTATAATTGTTGTGAATATGCTTCTCACCTGTTGAAATGGATTTAAGGAGATATTCTAGTCTAGAAGTCAAAAAAATCGATTAATAAATCGTATTTTCGAAGTTTAAGTCATAGATAAACAAGTATAAATGGTTTAAGTATTTAAGAATATGTGAGAGAAATTTTTTAAAATTTAAATTATTTTTAATAATACAACTGTTTGATCTCTTATGTTGAATGATAATCCTCTTCTGTTTCCTTCCTTTAGCGTAATTTATAACGCGTTTTTCTCGAAACTGTCTTCAATGAGATGCTCACGATTTCTCGACTTATATTAGACCGATTTACTTGGAATTTTCAGAGAACCCTCTTTATGGATGTTTTCCGAACATAAACTAGCCTCAACCTCAAATTTTAATTTTTTTTATTTCGAAAAAAATTGAGAAACTCCAAAAAGGGGTAAGAAAAATGCTCCTCTTTTCAAACAGGTGACATTTTGTCAAAACAATTTTTAACTTATCCTCAGTATATATTTCATTGCGACATCAATCTATATTAATGTTTTTTCTCAATTTTTGATCATACTAGAAGGGTTGCAATCGTAAGTAAATTGAATAAAACGTGTAAATTTTTAAACCTCCGACTTCAAAAATTGATTTTTTTTAAATTATCAATAAAAATAATTAACTTGTTTTTACTTTTTTTAAACTCATGTAACGTTGTTAAATTAATCATAAAAAAATTGACAGTAAAATTTAAACGATCTAGAATCCATGCCTCATGTACACTAAAATACCTTCTTAGAGACAAATTTGTCAATAATTAGTCTTATTGCTAATGAAACTTCTATTTTATTTACTAGTTATATATCTGTTTTGAGATTTTTACATAATATATATACAATCTACATATATCCAAGTTTTCTGAAATATTTATGAACCGATTTCAAAAACTTCAAAAATCGATATTTATAGTTAAGACATATGCAATATATTGAAATATATTGCATATTGAAGGATATTATTAGGTGTCAATTTTTGTCTCTGATTTAAAAAAAATCCAACAGTAAATTTAAAAAAATAAAAAATTAAAATGTTTAATATTGAAATTAATGAAAGAATTATTTATAAAATGTTATTAGTAATTTGTATCGAATTGCATGTATTTTTTCATTGCATTAGTTGTTGAACGATCAGAAATCACAAGACACTGGGTTTGAATCTGCATTTTCAGCGATATCATGCAATAGAGATAACATCGTTTTCTTGATAAAAAACGGATTAACAATATGTTTTTAATTGAAAATGACTCTTTCAGGTACTACTGCACAAAAGAAATAAATCTATATAAATTTATACAGTTGTTTCGAACCTTACCGTACCGCGCCCCCTGGTTTAAAAATATTAATTTTTTCTATTATATTTTTTATATATTATAAAATTAATATATTGCACATTATGTAAATAATATTATGAAAAAAATATGCATGACTAATTATGATTTATTCATTTTTTTTTGTTATCAAATAGACTTTTTTGGTTTATATTCGAAAATAATTCACAGAAATACAGTTCCACAGATTGGAAACTGTAGAAATAATATAAATTCATACAGTGGTTTCCAACAAAGAAATGTATATATATATTATATATATATATATATATATATATATATATATTCATACTGTGGTTTCAAACCTTTCCGTACCGCACTCCCTGGTTTAAAAATATTAAATTTTTCTATTATAATTTTTTATATATGGCATATTATTATTCATTCATTTTTTTGTGTATATTCTAAAATAATATTCGTTTTTGATTTATATTCTAAAATAATGTTTTGAACCTTTGTGAGAAGGCGCGTTCCACAGATTGGAGCACCAGGACAAAAATATTCAAATTTGAAAGCATGGAATATTATATAAACTAAAGATAAAGTTTTTAGCAAAACCAAAGATAAATGTACGGTTACTGTTAAAAAACAAAGCTATTCACCAAATTGTAATACATATCCCTAGTAGAAACACCACTAGGTGCATCTACCAGTTTTTAATGAATATTGTTTTCTCATATGTATCGTTAACAGTATAATAATGAAATTGGTATAAGAAACTCAAATTTGAATAAATATAATTGCTATCAGATGTTCCTAACTTGATTTGAACTATTGAAATAATTTATGAAAACTTTGCATGTCAGCTCGAACTCATTTTCTCAGGTATCAGAGACACGAAAATCAAGCTATGTATTGATGTCATATTCTAAGATAAATATGACTATAATTATTTATATAACAAATACTTTTATTGCAAATTTTCACTGAGAAATATTCCGCATACGTGCATGTTCAAATAAAATAAATTCAATATTTCATCCATGATAAATAATATTAAACATTTTTCTCAAACAAGAGTCGCAATGTTTAAGAAACACGATACTCTCATAGTTGATGTATTCAAAATATGAAAACTGACAGTTTTATAATTCTAATGTGCAACAAATCCATATTTTGAATTCACATACATTCCAATATGCATACCTGTATTTATTATTACAATCCTATTTGCAAATGGTATTATATATTTTAATACCATGCAAAGACAATATTTACGAATTTCTGTTTGACTGTTACTAATATTTAACACAAACTAATGCCATGGATTCGAGATTAAGATGCCATGTGGCAATGCACATGTGAACTGTTTATATTATGTTTAATAAATCTTCATTGCATAAACAAAAATATCTATTGTGCATTCTGTCAATGTTCAACATAAGCCAAGTGTAATGGGAAAGTATTAGTTTAGCTTTTATTTTCAAGTGATAAGACTACTGGTGCGAATTTATTGTGAAAATAATTGAACATTGTTTCACGATTTGTGTTTATACTATAAGCTTAAAATATTGTATAACCCAATAGTTTTTTAACCTCCCGAAGGTGAAGTTTATGTTTTCATAAAAAACCCGATTCCTTGATTTTAGGTTTTCTCTACGTTTCAAGCCATTCTGAATTGAATGAGACCAAATCTGGAAAAAGTATGTGAGGTTGTGTGTGTGAACAGAGTTTTCACCTTTCGTTGACGTTTTCTCAAAAACGCGTGAACTGATTGTATCTCGATGAAGACTGTCATTTTCAGTTTTATGCGAAGATCGGCCGAGCCGTTTCTTTGTAATTTGCAACCAAGTGCAAAATTTTTCGTCCTCACACGTAGCTCACAATCCTGAATCGATTTTAGAAAATTAAAACCTTTTCGAAAGATATTGGTGGGACATGATACTGATTAGGTAAAGAGCAGTTTTCTTGTAATTAACCGCTGAAAAAATTTCTTACCGAAGCTTTTTTTACGATAGATATCATGGTCTTATAGAACATACTGAAATATTACGGCCCTACGGCAAGTTGTTTAATTTTAAAAATTCATCGGAGTTTGAAAAAATATCGTCAAAAATGTCATAAGTTCCTTTTGTGATACAATAAATCAAATTTTGTGAATTCATTAAACTACAAAATTAGGACATATAAAAACGTGTCTGTGCAATATATATTGAATATAAATACAGAAAATTCTAATGTTTTTGAGAAAATTCAATTGGAAATCGAAATGTTTAGATTCAATTGAAAGCGAAAACCATTTTCGAAATAAACAGAAAATTTTATCTAAATATCCCAATTGAATCCCAATCGATATTGAGTCAATTATAACACATTTAGGGAAGTTCATGCAACTTGCCTCAAGGCAAAAT